TCACTGTTTATTTGGTTTTTACCTACAAAGCCAAGCTACCGGGTATTTCTAACCATTTACCCAGTAATAGGAAGATGTATGGTTGACAAGTTAAAATATTGCCTACTAACCAAACTTCTAGAATATTCTTTACTGTGACGGCAGAGGATCTGTACCCACACTGAAAAGGAGATAGGATAGAATTCTGAGATCTTCCTGCCTATGTCCAGAACTCAAATCCTATGGGTGATAGGGTAAAGGTTAATCACTACTGACTCAGTTCTGATTCTCAGCAGGGCCAAGAATCTGCAACTACTCCAGAAATGGAACTGACTCCTCCATGAGCTTGAAATACTTCTATTCAACCACTCACTTTGGAGTGTCGGAAAGTAGGAAGATTTGAAACTAAGACTCAGAAGACATTTCTCTTATTCACACCTATCATCCAGGACCAAAAGACATAAACCAGACAGGTGACAAAACTTGGCTACTAAGCGGAGCATTATTACAAAGCATTTTTGGGATGCAGAGCTGAAGTAAAAAAGTTTCTGAGACTGTACTCCTTTAGGAAGCTATGATTGGTTCTCCACAGTGGATATGGGAGGAATTGGCTACACAGCTGCCTCACTAGGAAAGAAGATCCAAGAAATGACACAACAAGGAGGCTATAGAGGTAGATCTGCCCCTGACAGCATGCACAGTAAGTATTAAAGGCCAGTGGTCAGAAGCTGCCTTTCCCAAAAGTCCCACACTGTGCCAAGCAACCTGAGGGTCAGAGATGAAAAGCAATGTACCCAAAGAAGCTTGCAGCATTTAATAAAAAACTGTTATCATCCCCCTTGCCCCCTGCCACTTGTTCAAAGCATGCTTTTTTCTCTCTTCCGTTAGTCTATATTTTGTGAATAGTACCTACTGTTTTTCTAGAAATAGGTACTACTTATTCTGGCTTGGTGTTTCTGAATGTCTTTTAACAGATGGTCCCTTTTGGACTGCTACCAACATTCTACTACCTCCTAATGTCATTTAGAATCAAATCAAAACAAATGAGATATGGCATACCTCTACATCCATATCATGTGATGCTACAAATGCTGCCGATATAAGATCTAATCCTGCATCTTTGATAGTATCTACAAGAATGCAAATTATAAAACTTAAATAAATACTAATGGTTAAGAAAAGCATCGCACTGAGTGAGTGAGTGAGAGAGAGAGAGAGAGAGAGAGAGAGATTAACTGAATCTACATTGTTGAACTAGTATAAAGCAAAAATCCCACTGAAGGGGAAGTTCCATCTTTAAGGATATCGTAAGTGACACTCAGGAGTAGTAGCTAGACAGATGTCATTCTGAGGTAAAGTACAGGCTTAGATGCTGGTCTCAGGGAACTTCACTTTTAGGGATGAAAAGTGAGAGAGAAAGCAAGAGATCCCCAAAGCAGAAATGCTTATGACGATCGTAGTTGACAATGAATTTTCCTTTTATAGGAGATCAGAATAGTACAAAACCTGCAATACTTAAAGAACATAAACAGAAAAGCTAGAAAATAGCTGGTTATTATTAGGAAAAAAAAAAGTTTAGGAATGACCCTGAAATTCCACAGCTGCTCCTCTCTGAAAGGACTGGAGAGTAGCCACCACGTCAGGTCAATGAGATAAAGAAATTGGCTGCTCTCAGGCATTTCAAAAAAGCCCCCCCAAAACTTTGCTTTAATTTAAGGACTCTCAAAACCCTGACACTGAGGGGAGGAGGAAGAAAGGAAAAGTATTTTATACGAGTTGAGTATGTGGTATAATTTCTATGTTGTTGGTTATGAAGCTCACCCCAAGCAATTTAGGAACTGCTAAATGTTAACTGGAGTCAACATTTTCTGAAATCCCTGATGAAGCAAAGAAAGATTAGGGTACTTCTTTGTGATTAAAGTAAGTATAAGATTTATGATCAAACAGGGACACTTTGGACAGTGAAAGGACACAGCATTAATAATTACTCTGGGACAATATAGGCATCAAATGGCTCAGTCCTTAGCAAAGCTTAAGGGATGGCCACCCTACTGCCTAGTCCCACAGGAAGCAAAGAAATGATGAGAATTTTCACTTAGCAAGACCCATCACGAAGTGCAATGTCCAAAAGGCTGTAGGCACATTGGGGAAAATATAAAGAGGAAGGGGAGGTAGACTTAAGAGAAACATACATGGAAAAGACATACAGCTTACCACTAAAACTTCACACCCCTAATCCAAAAAGCCAAAATCCATAATGCTTCAAATTCTGAAAATTTTTAAGGGCTGTTGTGACACCATAAGTGAAAAATTGTACACCATGAAACTTTCTTTCATGTACAAAATTATTAAAACTATTGAATAAAATTACTTTCAGGTGATGTGGATAAGCTATATATAAACATACAAGAGGGTAGGGGTCTAAAGGAGAATGATGGGGGCATGAATTCAACTATGATATATTGTAAGAATTTTTGTAAATGTTACAACAATGTACCCTCAGTACAATAATATGAAAATAAAAATATAGACTTGGGTCCCATCTATAAGATATTTCATTAAATATGTGCAAATACTATAAGATCCGGAAAAAAAAAAAAAGACCCAAATACAAACACTTCTGGGTCCCAAGAATATTGAATAAGAATACTCAACCTGTAATATGCCGTAGCAGGTATGTCCTGCCCTGGTGGATTCCTGACTGCCTTTCTAACTCACCTGGCATCATTCCTAGCCTTGAAATTTACCATCTAACTACAGCAGATGACAGTTTGCTGCTTTGGCCCATCTGGGTCCTCTCTCTGACATGGTTCTTCACATACTTTCCTTAGGTCAGAATCCCCTCTGAGCTCTATTTTGTCTCCTGCTTCCTCTCCCCATCATGTCCCCAGGAAACCATTCCCTTCATCTCCTTACCAGACTCCTACTTCACCTTGTATTTTCCCCTCTCAAGACTCTTCCACTTATGTTTTATTTTCTGAATACCCATCTTTTCCTAATTTGTTCAATGCTCTATTCCCATTCAGCAAACATTTATTGACTGAATTGACTGGATGAATTGAATAAAGTGAAGCAATCTTTTTTTTTTTGTTTTTTTGCATTGGCAACTGTTGCCTCTTTGAAAAAAGTTGATAGATAAGCCTGAGGCTCTTTATCAAGTATTTTTCTGAATGAAGCATCATTTCAAGTACATTGCTGCTAGCAGCCCTGAGCCATTCACAGAAAGAGCGGTATAAGGCCCTTGCGGAAGCCTGAGTCAATGTGGCATTGGCCTCTAGTGGATGAAATTGAGAATACAGCAGTTCCAAGTAAAGGATGTCCTGTGGCCCTAGCAATTCTTGAAGAAAATAAAAATCTGAAAGTTTCCCTCAGTTTTCACTTCTGACATGTAAACTGACCTTTTCTCTTATTACAGGAGAGTCCACTGTCAATCAAATCTTTGCCTCAGTTAACTATTTAGCATTCTGAGCATCACCAGTATACAGAAATATTTACTGACATCACAGCGTCTACAAGAGCCACAAGGTAAGATTTTATACCAAACTTCAGCAGAAGTCAATTGTTCTACTTGATTTCTGTTTTCCTTAAACAATCTTTTCTAGCCCCTTGGTGCTTTTATTGGGATTGCAGGGCTGCAGGCTACCAGACTGACTTTTGCAACACATGCATTTTAAACCACCTGCTAATCAAATGGACAAATAGTATGTGTGACAGGAGACAAAATCGAAGTCCAAATAAAGGATGTGTGAATAACAAACATGCAAATTTGTGGTGTGAATACATGAACTATTTTTCCGTACAAACAAATAGGATGATGATGTTCACCATTATTATTTACTTTTCTCCTCTTATTAGTGCATGACCTGGAATGTGTACATTCAGTTCTGCTGACATGTTTCTAGCTGCTTTTGCTTCCTGGAACAGTTTGTCATCACTTTTTAATCTCCAGCTTTTAAGGACACTACCGCCCACTCGCCTTACTCAAGTCTTTATAAACATCCTTAAATATCCCTTACTCTTTATCTGTATGCAGGTTCCTGGTCAGGAAAGAAAATTTTTAGAATAAAATTAATTGCCTCAGTAAAAAGTGAGCTCAGAGATGATAGAAGGTCACACAGAACAAAGCAGAGGGAACCATCTAGGTGCATTTCTGCCAGACAGAAGGACAGCAAAGGTCTCTGGGAGAACTGCTACACATTTGGCCCAGGCACATTGTCAGAAGCCAGGCCCATTTAGTCTGAAATGTACAAACAAATCCATGTGCCTTTACCTTTGTTAGGTAAAACAAAGGATTCTTAGATATTGGCTGCAGAGTTCTGTTCTCCAGCCACTAACTTGTCATCAGTGTGAGTCAGGTCACCAATAATGATCAAATAGCTCTTCTCAGATCGGATTTGCAGAGGAAGGGAACACTTTTTTTTTTTTTTTTTGGTGGTGGGACTAGGGTTTGAACTCAGGACTTTGAGCTTAGCAAACCAGGTACTCTACTATTTGAGCTGCACCTCCAGTCCATTTTGCTTTGGTTATTTTAGAGATGGGGTCTTATGATGTATTTGCCTGGGCTGGCCTCTAACTATGAACTATGAACCTCCTCATCTCAGCCTTCCAAGTAGCTGAGATATGAGCCACTGGCCGCTTGGCGGAAGGGGATTTTTGAGGTCTTTACTAAACACATAGTTTCCCCAAACACCTGGACTGCATACAAATGTGTAAAACAGATGGCAAGCATGCTCACATTTCAATTAAGTAGAACTGTACCAGCTGGTGTCAATATAAAAAGGAAGCGATAGGCATACATTTAATAAGCCCAAGGCCTCATGTGCTCAGTCCTCTTTAATCTTTTTAATTTTTGCTGGCATTCATGCCAGGAACTCTTACCTTGCTGCCAACTTCTATTGGGAATGGAAGCCCTCTTGTAATAGGAGATGTGCAGGTGGAAATAGGCAGTGAAACCTTCCAAGAAGGGTTTGGCTTAAGTGACCCCTGTCCCCTGTTGCCCTGTACGGATTGGTGGTACCTACCATCTCCTTGAACGCACTCTCCAGAGCCCCGATGACCAGGCACTCGTGTGGAATCTTCTTCTCAGTGAAGAAGCGCGTGGGTGGGGTGCTGGGGGAGCCTGGGGCCCCCACCCCTCCGCGCAGGGAGGCTGCGCGTGTCAGAGTCCGGCTGTTGGAGGGGGTGTTCTCGGGCTCCTCCCCCAGGCAGGTCGGGGGCAGCACAGCAGAGTTCTTCAGGATCTCCACGATGTCCTGAAGCTGCTCCATGACATGATGCTGCAGCAGACGGGATGCCACCACGGCGGCTCCGGACCCCGCATGACCATCAAACAGCGACCAGTAGTGGCAGGAAATGCCCTCTGACTCCTGGTGGGAGAGGGTGACAGAGAGGAGTGAGAGCCGCAGCAGCCTCTGCCCCAGGGCCATGCTCTGCACATCTGCTTGTTGTCTTTGTTCTGAAAATGGTGGGATCAAAACATAGCGAAAATGCTCCCAGGAAGGGTCCCCTGCTGCTAAACATCTCTTTGCCATGGTTTTGGAGCATGTAAAATGCAGGTGATGGCTACCGTATTGGGCAGGTGATGTCAGGGGCTAAATGCAATTTATGTCCAGTGTCCAACTCAGTAATGTGTATGCAGCAGGCATGCATGTGGATTGCAACACAATCTTGGGTGAGTTATTTTATGAACTTCAGTTTGCCACCAAAGTTGAGGGGCTACCTTAGAGGACCCTCAAGCCTCTAGAACTTTGCAAGTTCTATGTGAAGAAACATAGATCAGTGGGGGATGGGAGAGTCAGGGAAGAACTTGGGTCTTGAAGACAGGATAGATACAATAGGGAAGAGCTGAGAGGTGACACTGAAGGCAGCAGCCTGGCAAGCCTAAGAGTGGAAGAGTGGCAGTTGGCTTAGGTGATGTGGAGAATCTGGGAGATACTGCTTACCCAATATCTACTCTCCCTTCTCCTTAATACTGACTCTGTTTGGGGAGCAATATCCCATTACCTCCCAGACTCCCTTGCGTTGTCATGTGATACTCCTGCCAGGGAGCCCTGGGTTAGAAGTATTCTGGATGGAACTTCCAGGAAAACTATTGTTTCCTGATAAAAAGGACCAACTTGACTGGCCTGGTCTTTTGCCCTTCATTCTTCCCCCTTTATTCTTGTCTACGTCACACAAATAGCACCTGGAGGTGGAATGCACTCCTCCCCCCTTGCAAACAGACAAACAAACAAAAGGCTGAAAGCTACAAGCTCAGAATGCTAGGACAGGAAGTCAGAGAAGTCTGGGTCCTGGTGGTCTTCTTGGGAGGCCACACAAGCCCTGTACAGTTTTGCCTCTGGGCTTCTTATCATGTGGGCTTCATTGATACTGGGATAAGCCATGCCTGTCATTTCTGTAATAAGAACTGGGCACATGGAAAAGAAAGGATGTGCATGTTTATATAATATCTGGAACTTGTAGCATGCATAGGAAGGAAAGATGAATGCAAAGTCAGATAGGCACAGGCATACAACAAGAATTATCAGTAGGTAGAAGTGAGTAGCAATATGAAACAAAACTGAATCCCCAGACCAGGGTTCTTCATTTAGGGCATTTGTGGGTAGGATTCAGGGAGTCCATGAATCTCTATTTTCACAAAGCTCTGAAATTTAGCATTTCCTCCTATTAGGAATAACAGCAACAGTGGTTTTAGCAATACCTGTATTTGTCAAAAGGATAGATACACTGTCATTCCAAGCATCTTAAATTACTATTTATGCTCACTACTACTTTGAACTTATAGTCATCACTAAACCCACTGCTAGTTTTTCTTGTTTGTTGCACTAGTAAAGGGCATAATGCCTTATTACAAATTTGTTCAATTTTTGGGTTTTTTTTGGTGGTAGTGGGGTTTTGAACTCAGTCCTTCATGCTTGCTAGGCAGGTGCTCTACCACTTACTTAATCCACTCTGCCAGGCCTTTTTGGTGTTGGTTATTTTCCAGATAGGGTCTCACAAACTATTTACCATTTTGAAGATTGCTTTGAACTGCAATCTTCCTGATCCCTGCCTCCTGAGTAGCTAGAATTACAAATTTAATTTTTTATGACCACTTCAATGTAATTTCCTTGATATGCCTACGTATTTTTATTTTATTTTCTGCAATTCAAAATATAATCTTGATGAGTCTATGGGCTTCACTAGACCACATCTCCAGTTCTTCCAAGGTTACCTCCTGGAAAATGGGCCTGTGCTCCCTAAGCAGCAGCCACACAGCCCCATGTGTACTGCCTCTGACTAGAGGGTGGCTTTTGTTTATGTGGAAGAAAGAAGGATGTCAATCAGTTTGTTTGAGCAGCCAGTGGCCATATCAACACTGGCATCCTAGGCATCTGCCCTGCAGCAAAGGGTCCCTCTATTGGGCTGGATAGCTCTACCTTGGCCTTCCCACAACCAGAGAAAAGGGACAAAACAAGAGGAGTTCTTGCTTGTTGCTTCTAATGCTCCAAAAGGCCCGACTAAGCCCTGTGCATCCTCACAGCCATTCTGTATCCAGTTTAAATTAACACGCAGCAGCTGTCTTTAAGGATGTGCCATAGAGGCAAGCGAGGGATGGCGTGGGAGTGATCAATGTCCAGGTCCAAACATTATTATACTAAACTTTATTCTAAAGTCATGGTTTGGATTAAAAAAAATAGTAAATCCCATGAAATGAGGCACATTGCAATGCAATTCTATTACATTTTTAAAGAAGCAACTTTGAAGTTTTTCTGATAAGTCATTCATTTCCTTCAGCAAGGGAAAGAATCCCACAGCTACTGCAACAATGCTCAGCTGATAAAATATCAGGAATTTTGAAGCAGTCAAGGGGAAACGTGATTAGGGACTTGTTATGCAGGGAATTCATTGCATGGCAGTGCTAGAGATTCTGAAACAGCCTAGTTTTTAAAAATGCAATTAATAATTCCTACAGCTAAAACCCACAACACAGAACTTTTTTTTAGTAAGCAAGTTTCTTTCTTACTAAAGATGGAATAATCTAGCAGTGGCTGATGCTGGGGCCAAGCCCGGTCCGTTAAGTCACTGTGAAGGTGGCACTCTGGCAGTGACCATTCTTAAAGCTCTCCAGGTGATCCTAAGGAGTGGACAAAGCTGAGAACCCCTGGCATTAAGCAGTCAGGAAGCCCACAGTGCAGTCCCAGAATCTGCCATCAGTTTACTATGTGACCTTTGGTAAGTCACTTGTATCTCCCAGAACTGAGCAGGTCAATGGTGTCTCCATTGCGTTTCCTGGTTCTGAAAAGGGGACCTTAGGAGAGAGGACATGAAGTGGATATGTGGTCATGAGTCCTCTTGACTCTTATTTTAACCACAGCAGCACAGTTTTATTAATTATAAATATCAGGGGTTTGCATAAGATTTTAGTCAAAAAAAAAAAAAAGAAAGGACTTAAATGTTTGAAAGCCATTGAATTAAATAAAACTAAGTTCATCAAGAGATTTCAAAATCATCAGTGTACTTCCAGGCTATGGGAATGTAAATGATTGACATGCTATTTATTATTTAAGGAGATAAACCACAAAGGAAGCTCTCATAACATGCTAAGATTCTAGCTCAACTGTTTAATAAAGACCTGAAAGAGAAAAATCATTATGAAGCTAGAGAAACCACCCCATCATTTAATGAACTATGTGCAGAAGGTAGCATTCTAAATGCTTTATACATATTAACTTGCTTAGTTCTTACTCTAGTCTTATGAATAACCACCCTATGAGATATGGTTATTACCCCCAGTTTAACACAGGAGTAAAATGAGGAGAAGAGTGCAATAGCCCTAGGTCATCACATAGTGAGATCCATTGGGGACCAAGGCCCACACTTGCAGTCACCAGTCCATGTACTGTGCTGAACACTTTAGCCTATACCCTGCTGCCTCAGAGGGAAAGCTTGCCTTAATGTCTACTTCGTATCACCATCCATTTCTCCACTCTGCAACCTGAGTTGCAGCCAGTGTCTAAAACATAAAATCTGATCCTACTTCTTTTACTGGCCTAACAACCTGCTCTGTGAGCTGGCTCTCAACTGTGAGTCCCCAGATTGCAATCTTTGATATAGTCTATGATGACAGCCCCACATTCCAGCCCTTATTCAAATCCCAACCACACCAAGCTACAGTCCTAATCATAAGCTACCATCTCTACTTCCTTTATATAACTCCCACCTGCCCTCAAGTACTCGGCTTAATTTCATATCCTCCTGGAAGCTCCCACTGATCCTGAACACCCTAGGGACAGTGGCCTTGTGGGCTAAGTAAGGCTGGCATCAGACGCCAGAGGCTGGCAAGGCACACTGATGAGCCTCAATATACTTTGGACTCCTTGTGCACTGCCACACCTCTGCACTGTGAGAGCTGGGCTTCCACAAGGAGGCCCTAGAATCTGAGAAGCTCCAAAGGACTGTCGTGGAGCAAAGAGGACCTGGACTACACTGGCATCAGTGCATCTGCAGAGTAGACTAGTGGCTTCAAGAGAAGTTTCAAAGAACACTATGAGGTTGGGGAGGGCTATAGGGTGTTTGAAATGTGATCAAGATAACACAGATAATAAAAAATCTGTTTTCAAAAGCTGCATAATTGCCGGGTGTGGTGCACACCTGTAATCTCAGCACTTGAGAGACAAAGGCAGGAATATTGAGAGTTCGAGGCAGCATAGGCTACACAACAAGACTCTGTCTCAAAACACTCCACATAAAACCAACCACAACAAGTAGCATGATTAAACAGGATGTGCTGTATACTTATTTGGAAAGGGGTAAAAGGGCTCTTCTTTCCTCAGAATGATGCCATTAACTGCTGTTAGGTGAGCACGATGGTTTGATGCACATTGTCAGACCCTAGGAACTTGAGGAAGGAGCATAACGTCTTCTCAGTGTCATACCAGCATCAAGGACCTCCATCAACATCAGGGGTCTATGCCAGGAATAAGGCAACCTGAGTGATCCCCAAATTCATGATTCTCCTGCCTCTGCTTTCCAAGTGTTGGGACTTTACAAGTGTGAGCAACCATGCCTCACACTTGTCTTAACAACAGCTTGAAGAATCGTAAGTTGCATGAACATGATTTTTAAAATTTATTTATTCATTTTTGCAGTACTGGAATTTGAACTCAGGGTCTTGAGCCACTCCACCAGCCCATTTAAGTGATGGTTTTTTCGAGATAGGGTCTTGTGGAACTATTTGCCCTAGCTGGCTTCGAACCTTGATCCTCCTGAACTCCGCCCCCTGAGTAGCTAGTATCACAGGCATGAGCCACTGGCGCCCAGCATAATGTTTTTAAAGTACCTCAAAGCAGTGCAAATACACCTGTATTTCTTCACTGTTTAGACTATTCACTGTCTCCCTACTATTCATAAAAAACCTTATGGCCTCTTAGAGGCTGACATGACTTGCCAGCTTTGAATGATCTAGCAGCCACTTACTCTGCAGCACATCTCTTACTCCTTGTTGGTGGTCCTGAACACTTTTCATTTCCACTGTTCTAATGCTCAGTTATCTCTAGAACACATATGACCTTTATGTGTTCTTGTGTTTGAAACACTCATCCCTAACA